TTTTTTTTTTTTTTTGGTTTATTTGTTTTGTGTATGAGAGAGTGAGATCGAGAGAACACAAATGGATCAGGGGCAGAGAGAGGGAGAGAGACACAATTCAAGCACGCTCCCTGTTATCATTGCAAAGTCCAATGTAGGGCTCAAACTCAGGAGCCTTGAGATTACAACCTGAGCCAAAATCGAGAGTCATATGATTAACTACCTGAGCCACCCAGGTGGCCGTTCACTCTATCACTTTTATTGTGTATGTAACTACTTTCTAAATGTATGGATATGTGCATGAAGTGTAAAAAGATCAACTTTGTGGGGACACATTCTTGTTTCCATCATTCTTTTCAGCTTTGACACCTGGTATGAACATTGCTTTAGGATCCCCTCTGGATATCAGCCAGTGTGCCATTTTAGATCAACTCTAGGTCAGAGAACCTGGGTTAAAACCTAGTCTCTTCCATGTACTGGATGCTTGACACAATACTCAGAGAAATAGAAGACTAACGTGTTTGCTCTCATAGGTGATGATTCTTTATAATTATCGTTTATTTTCCATTAATATATGAAAAATGGGTAGGTGCCTTCTACTAAGTAGGAAATGCTCAGAAAGGCTTGTTGTTGCCTATTTTGCTATTCTAGTAGAACCTGTGTTTGTTACAAAACCGATTTAGTTCTAAGTATTCCAAGAGTTCTTGCCTTTGAGTTCTTGCTCTTTGTTATTTAAAGATCTATTCCCTGGCCAATAGGCTAATACCTTGTTAGAAATGCAGAATCTAGGGGTGCCTGGGTGGCGCAGTCGGTTAAGCGTCCGACTTCAGCCAGGTCACGATCTCGCGGTCCGTGAGTTTGAGCCCCGAGTCAGGCTCTGGGCTGATGGCTCGGAGCCTGGAGCCTGTTTCCGATTCTGTGTCTCCCTCTCTCTCTGCACCTCCCCCGTTCATGCTCTGTCTCTCTGTGTCCCAAAAATAAATAAAAACGTTGAAATGCAGAATCTAGGGACACTTGGATGCCTCAGTCAGTTAAGCATCTGACTCTTGATTTCAGCTCAGGTCGTTAGCTCATGATTCCTGAGATGCACCTCCAAGTCAGACTCTGCACTGACAGTGGGGACCCTGCTTGGGATTCTCTCTCTCCCACTCTGTTGACCATCTCCCCTCTCTGTCTGTCTGTCTCTCTTTCAAAATAAGTATATAAACTTAAAAAATAAAAAGCTTTCCAATACACCGTTGTGAAATTGTAATTCATATTAGAATATGCTACATACATTGTAACACACCTTGACTTTCCATCTAAGAAAGAGACACCAGGTATACTATGTGATGTGAATATAGTATTTAAAAATGTGGATGCCTTTGTTGATGCCTTCATTTTATGAATTCGCTTGAATAAACACAATATTCATACTGGTTCTTACCTCAAAGTTAGAAAATACATGAAAGCATATTATTGTGTTGAAAAAGATCTTTCTGCAGAAAGCAGGAAACCCCTCTAAGTCGGAACCAGTTTTCCTAAAGTACCTGAAGAAACAGGAATTCACTTCTTGGTGAGTCACAGATAGATTCTATACCAGCTGGGGTTGTCACACAAAGGAAATATGAATTTTAACAATTAAGGAGATCACAGGGAATCACTTCCAAAGCAGAGACCCTGGGAAGGGAATGGCTTCATATATAGTCAGGGTGGAGAATTAGAGGGAGAGCCCATCATCTTATGCAAAGGTGGTGATAAGGTTGCACTTGGCCCTGAAGAAAACAGTTGTATACAGGGGCGCCTGGGTGGCTCAATTGGCTGAGCATCCAACTTCAGCTCAGGTCATGATCTTGCAGGCTGCATGCTCGAAATCTTGCGGTTTGTGAGTGTGATCCCTGCATTGGGCTTTGTGCTGACAACTCAAAAGCTTGGAGCCTGCTTCTGATTCTTGTGTCTCCCTCTCTGTCCCTCCCGTGCTCGTGCTCTGTCTGTCTCTCTCTCAAAAATAAATACACATTCGATTTTTTTCTTTTTTAAAGCAAACTCTTCTATACATACTCTGGATGTTACATAGTAAATGAGGTTTGTGCTCGCTCTTAGGTGGAGAGTTTAGCATTATAATGAGGTCATGGTAACAATCCTCTCCCCGTGGTTGACACCACTGTCTACTTGCTTAAGGAGTGAGTCAGGGGATGAGCTCAGACTGGGTGGGTATAAGCTCTTTCTCAGATGACATACCTTTTGTTGTATACTTTCTGTTTCCATCACAAGAGACGATGGCCCTGGGGTGTTGCTGCCTGAAGTAACAGATAAGGTTGAAAGAAGAAGTGAAATAAAATGAGGGACTAAGTGCAGTGGGTATCAACAAGTAAGCAGTAAAGGTCAGGTCTTGGGGTCCAGCTGGTGACATTAACTCCCTCCTGCATCTTAGGTACCATTATGAATGCTGCCTATGGCTACTTGGTAACTGTGGCATTTGTTGCAGGGACTGCTGACCTTCAGGGATGTGGCCATAGAATTCTCCCAGGACGAATGGGGATGCCTGAACCAGAGTCAGCGAGAACTGTACAGGGATGTGATGTTAGAGACCTGTGGACACCTCCTCTTCTTGGGTGAGGATAACTCCTTCCAGACTTCCCAAACCACACTCGCGGGTTTGTTCCTTCCTTTGAAGACTGTCTCTTGGAAACTGCCTCTTTGCATGACTGGGATTCAGATCCCTGCAGTCAGGGAAAGAAGTAGGGGTTTGTAGATACAGAGAAATATCTTCATGAGGTGTCCTTTCCAGCTGTAGATTCCCCTTCTTTACGGTGAGGTAAGAGCATCATCATCTGTAGTGAGTGGTAATTGTAAACATTGAGTGGCATAAATTGGTACTGCCCACTTAAGCTCCCAACTGCTATTCCTTCCTGTAGTGGTAGTACTTGGAAGTGAGGTCATGATGTGAACACTGGAAATTCCTCTTGAGTGTACTAAAGGGGCTGTTGGGCCACAGCATTTGGGAAATCATTTTCTAGAATTCTGCACTGTCCTCTCTTGTGTACTGAGCACAATATTGGGTTGAAAGATAGAATCTGAGAAATACTTACATTCCTTTTTTTTCTGATAACTAAGTGTCACTGTGTCAAATCCAGACCTGGTCATTTTTTTTGGAACAAAAGAGGGAGCTCTGGGATGTGAAGAGAAAGAAGACTAGCCTCACCCCTAGGTTGCTGGGCATGAATGAAAAAGATGACAAAGGTGAAATGTAAACAGGGTGAAGCTAGACCTTAAAATGTGGTTGGAGTAGCTCTCCTTGAATGGAAATTAGTTTGAGGAGCCTAGTATTATATCTGTCCCTCTCATGGCAGGACATCAGCTATCCAACACATCATGCTCTTACATTCTCTAAGGATTCTTTCTTCAGTTCCAGTGATGGTCCATCATCTCCACAGTGAGTGCCAGGAGACTCCCCTTGGAGCTTGAGGGTCTCCAAAGTCTGAGAGCTTCTCCATTGCGTTGAAGAGCCTGGGGAATTCTCCATATTTCTGAGACATTCTATCCTAAGCCATTGCCAATTTCTGTTTTGCCTCCTGTGAGACGGGTGTCAGGGTAGTGGTGGACATACTGTGTTTGGTGCCCAAATCGCAGAAACACTGGGGACAGGGATCATGTGATTTCTGGTTTATGCTTTCCAATGCTACTGACGCTCTAATTCTTTTCTTAAATTTTTATGTTAGGGTTCTCGGCAGCGTGGAGCACCTGTAGCCCCAGAACTCTATAAATCATGGAAAAGCAAAACAGACAACTGAATGCTCCTCACCCAGGAATGAATTTACCATCTGACTATCCCCCTCAATATCCTTCAGCAACACTCCAAGGACCTCCAGGACATTCTGGCTACCCTGGCCCCCAGGTTGGCTACCCTGGCCCCCAGGCTGGCTATCCTGGCCCCCAGGCTGGCTACTCAATTCCACCAGCTGGTTATTCAGGTGCTGGCCCAGTAGGGTTTCCTGTCCAACACCAGCCTGTGTATAATCAGCCAGGTGGACCTGCAGGGGTACCCTGGATGCCAGCACCACCACCTCTATCAGGCTGTCCACCCAGATTGGAATATTTAAGTCAGATAGGTCAGATACTGGTTCATCAGCAAATTGAGCTTCTGGAAGTCATAACAGGTTTTGAAACTAATAACAAATATGAAATTAAGAACAGCTTTGGACAGAAGATTTACTTTGCAGTAGAGGATACAGACTGCTGTACCCGGAATTGCTGTGGGGCTTCTCGGCCTTTTACCATGAGGATTATTGATA